GTTGGGCGTCGGACCTTCAAGGGCTTATCTTATCCAGAGCTTCCCTCCGCATGCAGGACCCACTCAAGGTACCGGCGCTGATCAGGAGGACAAGGAAGGGACCCCTCCTCCTCCTACTGCCTGCTGGTCTCAGTGGCTCGCTCCGGCCTCCCCACCAACCTCTCTCGTCGATATCGACAGTAAACTCCCAATCCTCATTTTCCTTAAATTTGACAATTCCTCCTTTACTTTATTTCATCTGGTCACCGTTCAATGCTTCAGCGTATTCGTGTCTAATTCCATACTTACGTTTTTACATACCCCCATTTACACCATGTCTTCCTCAACACCCGAGCTCCCTGCCAACGTGCACGTCTCCCAGCACCCCTGTCTCCGGGCGAAGCTGTCCCAGTTGCGGTCCCAGTCGACGCCGGCGAAAGAGGTGAAGACGCTGGTGCATGATATTGCGTTGATGGTAGCATACGAGGCCCTCGGCGCCTCCACAAAAGCGACAGATGGATCAAAGGTAATTATCCCTTCTTCCAAAGCTGTTTCGTGTTACAATTAAGCACCAGGACTGACACTCCTCGCCCAGGATTCTACCCCGCTAGGATTCGACTTCACATCAACCACAATCTCCCCCTCCAGCCTCTGCCTCGTCCCCATTCTGCGATCAGGCCTCGGCATGGTAGAAGGTAACTACCCCTCCAACACCAGACATCTATTGTTCAACCTGAAGCTCAGAACTAACATATCAACAACAGCCGTCCAAACCATCCTCCCCACGCCCGTAGCAGTCCATCACCTAGGCCTCTACCGCGAACCCTCGACCCTCGAGCCCGTAGAATACTACAACAATCTCCCCAACCACGTTTCCCCCGACGGCTCCAACGCCGGCGCCTCCGAGCTCGCCATCGTCCTTGACCCCGTCATCGCCACCGGCGGCACCTGCGCCGCCGCCATCCAGACCCTCCGTGAGTGGGGCGTCAAGCGCATCGTCGTCCTCTCCGTCATTGGCGCCGCCGAGGGCGTCAAGCGCGCCGCGAGCGAGTGGGCCGATGCGACGGACATTTACATTGCTGGCGTGGACGCCGAGTTGACGGACAAGGGCATGCTAAAGCCCGGTGTAGGTGATGTTGGTGATCGGCTGTTCCTTACTATTGGAAAATAAATGAAAAAGGGGGCCGGATTACTGCTACCTGAGACGGGTAGGATGACGGCGAGGGTTTGATTTTGCTTGCTCATCTAGCCTTGGATATCAAATCACCTCATAGATTGGTCATGAATGGCACCTCATAGAAAGGTTTCTGTATGCTGGGATTGGTACTAAAGTGTCATGTATCCTGGGTATAATAAGCAATTCATCCACCGTCGGACCCAATACCGTCATTTCTCTCATACTCGCGTATATTTCTCCTCGTCCAGCAACGTCTTCTCTCGCCAGCAGTCTTCAACCCATTCCGCAGTCACGAGGTGTGGAACCTTACGCCTATGACTGACTTTCTCCCGCATAGCAGCGGCCGCGTCTTTCCGCCGGGTGCCGTCTCCTACCACAACCACGTGCGTAGTCTCCGTGTCTTCGGCATCGCTGATCAAGCGTGCGCCGCCAAAGGTCAGATAGTTCCTAAGCTTCAACATCTTGATCTCGTCCTCATCACATTCTTCTTGAACGTTGACCAGGTGAACAGCGCAACGATGAAACATTGATCCCTTCATTGGGCCTACCCCGCGTCCACGCTCCTCAAGCTGATTGAGAAATTGCGTCTTGTTAAAAGGCTCTGTATCGGGTTCTTTCTTCGGCATCATATTGAGAACTTCGCGCAGCTCAACAAGACTGATGTCGCGGGCGTAGCTGTCCCCATACATATCCGTGTTCTGCAGCGCAATAGTTTTGAGAGCTTCCGTCGCATGCAACAGGTGTCGCTCTTCGTATGGAAGCAGCAGAGATTCATCAGCCTGTTCGAGACAGTCTTGAATCCACTTTGGCCTAACGATGTCGACGCCGTTGCCCTTTTGCCCCTCCTTGACTAGACTCGCTACCTTGACGACGTTCTTGTCCGCTAAGAGAATCATACCAGACTGCGGGACAGCCCGCTGCGAGACCTGGCCGCCGTTTTCCTTGATAAGGGTCTCGAGCTGTGCCTTGGTCTTCTTGAACGGCTTGAGCGACTCCGACAGGACGCAGAACTCGAGGCCCTCGAATATCTTGGACTTATCTGCCTGGAACTGCGCAGGCATGTTCTCCGTCCCGGCGATGACGACCTCGCGCTTGACGCGCTTTACTGACTTGCGTTTGCGGTTCTCGACGCTCATGGTCTTTTCTTTGGCCTCTGCCTCCACGCGTCGCCGTAGGTCCAGGAACTCTTGCACGCTGAGGCCCTCGTCCCAGTTCTTGTCGGTTCTCAGCTTGCGGAAGCGGGGGAATCGCAAGGTGAAGCCGAGGGAGAACTGGTCCGAGTTGCCGATGCTCGCGGCCTTGGCCTCCACGACGACAGAGTCGCTGGGTCGGATCCAGACATCCGGCCTTTCGAACTGACGGTCGCCGCCGGCGAGCTCGATGTATTCCACGGGGGGCTTTTTCGGGTCCCACGTGGTCCATTTCCCGTCCGTCCGATGCCTGATCTCCGCATAGTCGGCAGCTGTGAAGCCGCCGCCGACTTTGAAGAAACTGAAGCATTTCTCGGGGTTTGCACCAGCGTGGATATGGTTTTCGCTAGCACGCAGACCGCACAAGAAGCTGGAGATGGCGCCACCCCTGTGTCCGGAGCCGTAGTAGCCGCCAATAACGACACAATCCAACGACTCTCCGAACTCAGACATGTACTCCGGCTTGACTTTCAACCAGTCGTCATTACGGCTGTTGAGTCTGTACATTGACCTCGGATTCTTGAGGACCAAGCCCTCTGATGCCTCGGCGACGACCTTGCGGAGGAGCGGCTCGATGGCCTCGGGTGTCGTCGCAGACTCGTACTCGTGGATCTCCAGTCTCCTATGAACACCCTTCACAGCCTTTTCCAGGGCACGGTGACGATCCCGCAGCGTGTACTGGGTCAGAGGCTGATCGTTCAGTAGGAGGATGTCGAAGACGCGGTAAAGCGGTCGCGGCCCTGTGTTGCTGTAGGGGTTATTCTGCTCGGCTAGAGCGGCTGTTTTGAGGGTGCCGAACGGCATGATCTTGTCGACTTCCGGGTCCCAAGTAATCATCTCTCCATCTAGAATGACGTTGCGGACTCCTTCAGAAAAAGCATTCGCCAGATGGCGAGTCAGAGCTCCCCTCTCGTCTTTCAATCCGTTACCGTAGAGGTAGGTGTAATCTTTCGCCTTGCGAGACCAGAAGCAGAATCGCAGCCCTCCCGGAACGCTCGGGTCTTCGGCCACGTGCATCTGCATGCGCTCACCGTCTAGCTTTTCCTCGATCCAGAACTCGGGATCCTCCTCTGTAGTCCGGAGGTAATCGACCATCTTCTGGAAGGAAGATGGCATCTGGAACTGTGCCAGCTGGGGCTGGAAACATTCCATAAGGGTGACACCCGTATCCTCCTGCTCCAGACGTATCCTCGGGTCAAAAAGCTCCCAGCAAACGCGTCGCAGACTCGACGACACGCTAAACAGGGCTTCGCCATCCGGATGCCACAGATCGAGAAAGGTCCGCTCGGTCGCGCCGACCTTCATCTGCTTGAGCACGATGCGGATCAACCACATAAGTTCTTCTGCATTCATGCGCTCGTAGAAGATTTCAAAGACCTCCAGGTTCTCCAGCTCTCCCGTCGACGCAGCGAGTTTATCCAGCAACTCATTGACCTCGGCAATCGTCATGTCGCCGACCTCTGTCCGCATCGGCCGCTTAGAGAGGACCTCGAAGCACCGGCCCGCAAAGTCGCCAGCTAGTCTAGAGAAGGTAGTCTGACCCGGCAACTTCCAGTGAAGGAGGTTGTGGCCGTCTTCCGAGTTCTTGTCGATCTTCATAAGCTTGACGAGGAGTTTGCCAATAGCATTCTCCTTCAAGCCGTAGACGCCGCGATCCCGATCCTTGTCAGGCAGGATGAGTCGCAAAGCCGGGTAGATGTCGTTTCCCACCTCGTTTCGCCATCTGGAAATAAAGCGCTCAATGAGGTGCCGTCTCTGTTCCTGCGGCGATAGCTTGTGTGGTCCGTGGGGTCCCTTTTTGCTGCGAGGTGGGCCGCGACCGACTGGTTGCTTCTTGTTCTCGTTCAAAGGATTGAAGAGGCTTTGGAAGAGTTCCGAAAAGCGCATCGTTTTTGAATGATTGCGTGGGCGATTTGGGTACCTGCAGGGCCGTGTCAGCTCCCAGGCCAAGGAAGGATAGAAAGAAGACTCACTTCTCGTCCAATTCTTCGAGTGTGGTTCCTCCGATAGCATACTGCCTCTTTTCCTCATCAATGGCAGCCGCGTCTGGCGACTTTTGTCGCTTGCGCTGGCTCATGATGGGCAATTCACTGCGTGAACTGGCAAGAGGATTGGGAGCCGTTGGCGACGGAGAATTGGTGATGATTTAGTGGGAAAGTTTGCGTTGTAGATGTTATCAGGCGGAATTGAATATAACCAGTTGATTGTGCATGGAATAGCTGGGTGGCATCGCAACGGACCCCGTCACATTGAGGGCCTTGAGGACTTATACCCTTCAATTGCGGCTTACCTGAGGCCGTTGAAGTTCAACGGTGGAGCGGTTGCCTTGGGGATGCTGCCTGGAGGTGGATGCATCAGAGCGGGTGGTAGTGCGGGGCACTCGTCCAGTGAGAAACCTCGCCTAATTGCATCAAGAACATGCATCAGCAAAACAGGAAGACATCACTTTTGTTTTCTTCAACACGACCATCGGCATCGATTTCAGGGACACATGTTGATTAAGAGCGAGATATTAAGCGGGATCTCTACCTTTATTCTTGCTACTTCATGATATACGTCAATCATATCATCTCTCGTTCCATGATTATGTTAAGCGCATAGTTGACACTGCCACCAAAGGCAACGCCATGCGCTGAAGTCGGGTTGGGGCAAGCTTAGTGCTGGGGACGGCTGTTGACGGAAGAAGTGTCACTGACAGCCTTCTCGGCATCCCAGCGCTGCTGCATGGGCTCAGTGACAGCTTCCTTCTTGGCAGCCTTCTTGCGCCAGAAGAAGAATCCAGCAAGGACGAGCAGAGAGACACCGGCAATGGAACCGACAGCGGCACCAGCGATGGCGCCCTTGGAGAGACCAGAGCTCTTGGATTCGCCGGTGGCGGTGAAGTCGGCAGCGGTGTGCGGGGTGTTGCCGCCCGAGTCGGTGGTGGTGACGTTGACGGTGGTGTCGACGTCGACGTCGGGGTCGCTGACGGTAGCGTTGAAGCAGGGGATGGAGGCGGCAAAGACCTCGACGAAGGTGACGTCGGCGCAGGCGTAGTAGGTCTCGCGCTTGGACTCGTCCTGGTCAAAGTTGGAGACGTAGAGCATGCGGTAGGTCGCGTTGGAACCGGCGGCGGTTCCTGATGGCGCGCTGGGGACCGTCACGCAGGTGTGGCCGAGGTCGAGGCTGCCGACCTCGCTGGGGCCGAGGAAGGTCTCGAAGTCGGAGGCGGACTTGGGGTCTGTTTGTGTGGTGGATGTTAGGTATATGTTTCCAAGGCGGAGGGTGGAAGAAAGAAGGGCGTTGTATTTGCACGTACCGTTCTCGTAGGAGACACTGAGGTGGACGGAGCGGGTAATGTCCTGGGTCACAAGGGCAAGCTTGCCGTTCACTACGTTGGTTCGATGTTAGAGTTGTCCGAGTCTCCGCAGGATATGTCGACTTACTGAGAGGGAACTCGGTGCGGACACCGGGGCCGTTGGTGGATCCGCAAGGGGCCGTGTTGTCGGCGTCGGCAGACCACTCACGGTCTGGGGGCCTGATGGTATTCTGGTTAGCTGCCGATCTTCGTTGAAGCCTGCAAGATGCAGTGGAGAAGATATGCTTACCAGAGGAAAGCGGCCGGGCCCATGTTGTCGGCGCCCATGACGTTGCCCAGCAGCATGCTGCCGAACAAAGTGACTGACTTGGCAGAGACCATCTTGAAGGTGATGAGAACCTTCTGGAAATGAAGCTCAACTTGACGAGTTGTCTGAGAAGGGGGAGGTCTGGTCTCAGAGAGCAAGGCTCGAAGCTCGAGGCTCGAAGGATCACAAGGTTTGCGAAGAAACTTGTGATGGGGGAGTGACTTGGGAGAGAGAAAAGAAAAGAACTCAAGTAGCGGGACATGCGGCCCTCAATATATGCCTGCGCCAATTCTTGTTTCTCGCTCTTTGTGATCTTCTACTACGGATCTAACCCAACACCTGGGCGCCGAGCCCCAGCCAACCGCTTTCCATGCCGAGGAGAACCAAAACACCAAAAACGTAAGGTAACGGCCAGCCGGCGGGCTCATCCGCCAAGGTCGCGCTGAGCCGACGAAACCGGGTGCCAACAACCCTGGCATTTTGATCGCGACGATGTGCCCTGGTCCATGGCGTGCGGTGTGCCTGACTGTAGCGGCCCACAGCTCGTGTGGTTGGCCCACCCGAGAGAGTTATCTGATGGGATCGCACTGGGCCCAAGGCGCTCAGAAGCCCCGCAACGTTGTTTGGACTTTGTTCCTCTCTGGGTTATTTAGTTGGTTGGAACCTGGAAAAGAGTCTCAAAAGTTCGCCAGGGGCGGAAAGATGGGTGAGCGTGGACCAGGTCGGGTGTAGATGGCTCCACTACGAGCGGACATGGCTTCATATTATCTGATCATCTGATAAGATGGGCACCCATCTCCTCATTGGCCAAATACATCCTCTCTGCATCACTAGTGCCCTCTCGGCGCCGTGGGACCGGCATCCACTTCCAGAACGACCAACGGGCACTAAGGGCCCAGCGTCTCTATCGCTGGGTAAGGTGCCACGGTGCTAGCTGGGTTTTCGTTCCCTCGGCGGCTCTCGTATTTGCCCCGGCTTCTTGACAACGGCAAACTCTTTTCAGTGTGTGAGTATCACTGATGGGTGTCGTGAAAGAGGCAACGGTTGTCCGCACGAGGTGGCAGCCCGTCTAGGGTGGTCGGTCTTGGCGATCACCCGCTTTCGAGGAACTGGGTTACAGACGAACGAATCCGAGTTCGTCCAAGAATTAAACTCGGCCTCCGAAGGCCCCATCGCCGCAACGTCGGCGATAGCCTGGTTGCATGAGACCCTGCCTTTCTCCACGACTGCCTAACATATTCTCAGCGAGACCGGAAATTGGGCAGACTTTTTCGTTGTCTGGCTGGTCTGTGAGACTGGGACCGTTAGTCAAACAACTCTGAAGAGCGGGCTGGATCGCGTTCGGTTCTAGCTTTCCGGATTCTCCCCAGTTTTCTGATGGACACGATGCAGTATCCGTACCTGAACGGTTACTTTAGCTCGTTCCCGCTGAGGATCGGCGCGGGTTTGCGATTTGTGAGTTCGGTTGGCATGTGAATTGTTCGTTCGGTCTTTGAACGATTACTTACACAAAGCCGCCATGTCAACTTGCTCGGCTGCGGTGAAGTTTCAATCAGAGCACAGCAAATCCTGTTACAGAGTAATTGCATTCACAGTCCGGAAATCGAGCAAGCCGGAGCCTCGCGAAAAACTGGAATTTTCCAACCGTAGCCTACTTTTCTTCCTACAAATTCGAATTCTCATTGATGGAGATGGGTGGCAACAGCTTCGGCGCGCCGCGCAAAGAACCAGCGTGATCCGACACCATCCGGCGGGATATCCGGAATCAAGTACTCACAACCCATCCAGCTCCGCTCCAGCAATATCGATAGTCCCTCCCTAGCCGTTCTTCATCGTACCCTAAAAGTCTTGTCAGCCATCATGCCCTTGAAAATTCCGCCACCGCCCCGCCTCAGTCTCGACTCCTAGGGCTACCGGACTTGCGACTGTGCTGTCGTTCACATCCAGAGAACCCCCATGAGGTGACTTGGCCCGATGCCGAGCAAACGGCTGGTACTGAGATGGTGGGATGGGCCATTATCCGCTCTGAATCAGGCGTCTTGTGTGGCCGGATTCTCGGGCCAATGCCCTGGTTCAGTAGCCCATGCTGTCTGCCACGACCGTGGCAAGCCCTTCGCCGGTCACGAATACTGGGGTTCTTTGTTCTGCTTAAGCTTGTAGTCAAGCCCGCGCGCGGATATGGCGGCACAGCGTGTCATTGTGTGAGACGATATGACTCCCATCCTCTTGAGTTCCGCGTCAATTGTAGTACAAAGCAAGTTGAGAAAGAGAGGTGCATCTTATGGAAATTGGTACTTGAAATTCACTTATTCTGCCAGTAGCCCGCTCAAGAGGTCACCCTCGTCATTAGGATTCAACTATGAACGAGGTGCCTCACACTTGCCCGAGGAAGCAGCGATGATTTCATCTCACACCACAGCCGATAACTAGATTTGACATACTTAATGAGCTCTACTCCCATCACGTAACGTAGTCTTTGAACCAGGCTGAATGACTAACCATAAATACGGCTCTCTTGTTCGGCCCAGCCCGGGAAAGATGGAGACTTGCATTCTCTAAGTCCATTGCCAAGGTGTGATGTCGGAGACACGCACCGGCAAAGTCATTCCAGCCACCTATGGATTCCCTAGTTTTGCGCATGATCTCATTGGTACACAATTCAAGCCAAGAGCAATGCAGGATCCGTTGCGAGAACAACCCTGGTATAGGTTTTCATGTGCCAGCTGAGGTGGGCTGAGATCTGGCAGGGATTTCACCTTTTCCTCGTCCAAGGACAAATAGATACCTCGTGACTAGGCCATTTTATTTTCACATCTACCGACAATCTTCCTTACTATATTTGTTTGAGATGGGAAAGAAATACCACGTCTTCGCAATATAATGTTGAGGTGAATTGACAAACCTTCAAATGTATGATGTGCCAACGAAATCGTCCTCAAGAACAACGAAGCCATGAGAGCCATAGTAAGTAAGACTTACGGAGCCAATCATGATCACTTGAGATGTTCCAGGACCTAATTCAATGAGGGAATAAAGTGGCAGGCCTGGGCTGAGACTACAGCGCACTTTTGACAGTGGGGAAGATCCGAATGCCTGTTGAAGGACGGAGGTGGAGTGATGTCAATACGATTGACTGACATTATTCTGGACAGGTTTGCGGTATTTGACCAACATTTCAGGCAATTCCAAAAGGAAACCAGACTGTGTGATCCGTTGCAAGCAGCAAAGGTGACCATGCTCCATAATCTCGCTGGCAAGTGTCATAGCCGGCGAAACAGATTTTGCTAATCGTAAATGGGAATCAGCAGCCATTGTTCATATCCGTATTTTTTAACCTTAAAAGCTTCTCAATCTGATCAGATGATGCCTCTAGTTCGTCAGATTTCCGTCCAACCTCATAAGAATCATCCATCATATTTGGGGGCGCGGTCGTTAGTCCTATCTCAAGGAATATGTTCCTCCGAAGAACTAGCAAGCATTTTTTCTTGACAGTGCTGACAGAGCCGTGAAATGTAGCAAGAAAAGTTGCAATACCCAAAAGGAACCTAGTGTCCGTGCAGCGTCCAGAACTGGACTCCTCGTTCGTTTATTTTGGCATTCGATAGCTTAACCCCCCCCCCCCCCTTTTTTTTTTTCTTGTTTATCTTTCCAATGGGTTTCTTCTGTGCTTATATGTAAGTCAGGTGAGAGACAGGTGCAAAGAGCCATCCAAACTTTATCCCATGAAGACTGGATAACCCTGATATGAACAGGTGTGACCACGGGGACCAATCTTAGAATTCCACACACGGTGAGTGAAACAGACTCTTGATGCAAGTTCCCCGTGGAAACCATAGTTTTCTGGCCGTGTTTCATGAATCTAGAACACAGCGAAGTCTGATATACGTAAATAGTTATATTGAAAACTCGAGGTGACCCGCCATTCAGCGGCATCAAGCCTCATAACTCCACTCTTTCTGGTGGCTTCGGAGCTTGCTCGACTCTGCAATCACCAAACTTGGGGAGAATTCCAATAGGGTCGGAAGATCTCTCGGAAGACCGTGCTCCCTGCAAATACCGTCTATCCAGCTCCTCGCCGAGCTTGTCGGGGCTGACTGTAATTTCAAGCCAGTGCTGACTCGTAACGTTCTTGTCGTACACCCAGACATTACAACCGTTACACTTGCCTTCTCCATATAGAGTGACAGTATTATATCCGTACTCGTTACCAAATTTGAAATACTCGCCGAGTCCTCCCACAGCATAAAGCATTGCAACGGGATCGAAAGACCACTGCGGCTGGTAATACGTGTAGAGTATATACGCCGCCCGTACAGGGTCGGTCTTGGGTCCGTCCGCCATGAGAGGACCGCCTGAGCGAACTGAGCCCCCGAGCTTGAAACCGGCGTAGACAATGGGACTTGTCCAGTTGTGGATTACATGTGCTGTCTGATAGGGGTCATCGCCCCAAAAGTTGAATTCAAATCCGTTTGGGTAGTCCCCGCCCATGACGACGAGCTCTTTGACCTTGGTCTCGACTAATTCGGGGCCGGAAAGCGGGGACCGGGCATCTGCCGTGGAGTTGAGGAGGCCGGAGAGGTTGTGCAGGAAGCCGATGGAGGCTATCGTGACAGAGTCATCTTCTGCTTCGGAGAGTAGCTTGCGGTAGAGGTCGACGGGGTCCCAGGCTTCCTCGGCGTCGGAGATGCTTTTCGACCAGTACGTCGCTAGCTTGCTCGCGAATTCGCCGGCGCGCTTGGCCCAGTTGTCGAAAAATGGGACATCGTTGAGCGGTCGTCGGGCACCGACGGGAACGTCAGCGTGATCATAATGGTTAAGAATCGCCGAAGCTGCTAGCACTGAATATGAGGATTGGGAGTTGATATTAACTCCTAGGAGGTTGACTTCTGGAGATGTGGCGGCGAGGAGAAGAGCCGCGGCATCACTGGGGTGTATCAGAGAGGACTGGAATCAGTCTAGGCGGATATGAGGATGACAGACTTACTCGCAATCGCTGAATAGGTCGGTGTCGACTATGAGGTTCCTCTTTGCTGACGAAATAGTGGCGAAGACGAAGAACACAGTCAAAAGGCAT